TGATTCTTTCGACGACTTTCTCTGCCGAGATTTAACGAGTAATTAAAGAAATACCGTTTGATAAATAATTCAAGATACATACACTCTTTTTCGTTTTACCTCCGTTTCATTGCTTAAGATCTGTTTTGTTCGGGTGTAAAATTAAGGTACAGATGATCGAGTGAAGCGAGAAGAAACGCAAACCTGTTGCATGCTCGCGAAATTAGCGACGAATGAACGTGCTGTTCGAGACTGGTTGCGCCTTTTATCGATCGCGTTAGTCGATCGAGAGAAAGATAAATAGAAAACATTGTCTCGAATAAGGCAGAGAGCAATATCGTTCTGGCATCGTGTATTCAACCATCCATTAGAAATCTTTCATTCTGTTGATTTCGTTGTTATCTTGTCATTGGCGGATCGAATTATTCCCGTTAAAAGCAAGAATTATCTCCACGCTTCTCCGTGCGTGCCTCGGTATGCTGATCGCGTGCAACAGAGTTCAAATGTAAAACGGTGTTTCGAAAGAACGCTCGTTGCATCGTTAAATTGGTTAGTTCATAAATAGAATCGTAAATTGCTATAATTACACAGGTTCTCAGGGCGTCAAGGCGTTGAATTTATAGCCATTCACTGCGTGACTTATTGCATCTGCATCTTTAACGATTTCACGGTTGAATCTTTACTACTTGTAGCTTTTTCTTTCACTTTACGCACATCTGCATTGTTTACAATCGTTTCAGCATCTGGATCAACCAGTCGTCACAGAAGACGAATCGCAATTATGGCTTCGAACGCTTTTACATTGTTCATGGTATGTTTATTTAGTTTCTCCCTATGTTATACACTGTTTAATATATTTTATCGTTTCTTTTAGTAGTTGAAATTATGTCACCACGAATATCATCGGAAAATGTAGTTTATGTAGATGAAAGAAAAATAATGGAATTATCGTTTCGAAAAGCGAAGAGAACGGATTGTTTGATTCACAGACAACTCGAGCGAGAATTGAGTCATCCGTGTATCCAACGGATTTCTCCTTCCCGCTGCGTGGATCCGTTTACATTGCCACGACAAACCGCGAGGCGTGCATGTTTTTGTTTTGGCGTTTAATGTACTGGCAACGACCGGCACGCAAGAAACTTGAAATGCTTTAAACGAAAAGAAAACGAGAAACCGAGTGCAAAGTACGTAAGAGCAGTACCGTACGTCGTCTCTCGTATACGTATGGTGTCGATGGAAAAGCTGTAGAACACATTTTACGTGACATTGTAAGTTGTAAGACAGGGTACAAGTGATCTTGCATGCCAGAGAAATGATCCAATAAATTCCAAATCTGTAGAAACAAGATACAGACCATTCAAGATCAGGGATTTCCAGGAAGCTTCAGATGTTTCAGGAAATTCCAAAGGTTACAGAGATACCAGAAATTCTAGGAGCTTTCATAGGTTTTAAGGGATTTCAGGGATTCTCAGAGGTTTCAGGGATCCTCAGAAATTTCATGGATTCTCAGAGGTTACAGAGATCCTCAGAGATTTCAGGGAACCTCATAGATTTCACAGATCCTCAGATATTCTGAGGAGTTCCATGGACTCTAAGGTTCTAAAGATCATGGGACTCTGAGGAACTTCAGAGATCTCTGATCCCCAATTCTGATTCAACTCTAGGAGAACCTAGAAAACCTCGGTGATCTTAATGGTCCAAACGCATAACATGGTACTTTTTAATTACAGCATTTCTTGCTCCTGATCTCTTTGGTCGTAACATCATTGGCCTACGATCCAAACGACAAATCGCTGAAAGACATTCTGCTACCCGAAGGACAATTCGAGGCATTCTATCTGAAAGGATCGCAAGAGGAAGAACAAAACGCCGTGAGGCCTCCGCATCTTCATGGCTCGTTTCACCAGTTCAAGAATCCCGCCCTAGTCGGCGCGCCGAACAGCGCCGCTTATGGTTTCCGTTTCGACGGAAAGCGCCGTTTTAATTACGATTAAACCAAAGGCATATCGAATTTACAATGAAACAATGTATAGTGTTTTGCTAATAATGTTTCGTGTTGCGGCGTTATCAATGTTTATTTAAGCAGGATGTATTATGCATTAGATGGGAGGTGCTATTTATGTATCTACAGAGGCCAAGTTTCACGATTAGATTCTACCATTTCTCTTCTCGATACGTTACTTCATTATAGCGAAATTTCGAAACGAG